ATTTGAATGAACTTGGCGTTGTTAAAGTCTCAAATGCATAGATTTTGTCCTATTTAATGAAACTTACGGGGAAAATGGCACCAAAAGGGAGTTGGGGAGCTTTTGGGGGAAACTGTAAGGGTCCCCGTTACAATTAGCACAAATTTACAGATACTTTTGAAACGAATACATAATTATCTCACCAGCATGTCATTGTGCAACAAAGTCGTCAGCATATTATTTGTCCTTTGAACGTGTGAGATTTTAATGGCACTCTTTCGATGAATTTTACACTAAAGCAAGCTATCTTCGCAGTCAGCTTTATTTACCCGCCATTTCATCTTAAACCGGAAGTGCGATTTTAAATTTGAAATCTCATCCCACTAAATTTGAAATCGGAAAAAAATTTTTCTGAAAATTCAAAACCTTGAGCGGAGGGTTTGTAAAACTGAAAATAAAATAAATCTTGGCCTTAAATATGTAATTAGATCATTAGCATATTGACCAGGAGCAAAGGATAAGATGTTCAAAGAATTCATGCATTTCACTATATAATCATTAGAGCCCCCCCCTAAAACAAGAAACCCCCGACTCAGGGGCCCTGAAATTCACAAACTGGGGGGAGGCAGTCTTATTCAACATAACTTTGTACTTAGTTACTTTATTTAATGCCCAGGAGAGAAAAAGATTTTTTAAAAAATTAATGTATTTTCACTATATAATCAATAAAGCCCCGCCCAGCACTAGAACCCCTGACCCAGGGGCCATGAATTTCACAATTTTGGAAGGCCCCCTTTTTCAACATAACTTTGTACTTGGTTAGTTTTTTTAATGCCCATGAGCAGAGAAAAGATTCTCAAAGAATTTATGCATTTTCACCATGTAATAATTTAGCCCCGCCCAGCACTGCCCCCGACCCTGGGGGCCCTGAATTCACAATTTTGGTAGAGGACTCAATGCTGATTACAATCATGCAAACAGTTTGACTGCTTGATGTCCAGGAGTAAAGAAGAAGATTTTTAAAGATTTCATTAATTTAACAGGTTTTTTAGCTCACCTGAGCCGAAGGCTCAAGTGAGCTTTTCTGATCACATTTTGTCCGTCGTCCATCTGTCCGTCCGGTAGCTGTCTGTAAACTTTTCACATTTTCGACTTTCTTCTCATGAAGGACTGGGCCAATTTTGACCAAACTTGGTACAAAGCATTTTTTGGTGAAGGGGAATAAAAATTGTTAAAATAAAGGGCCAAGTCCCCACATAAGGAGAGATAATCAAGAAAAGACAAAAATAGGGTGGGGTCATTAAAAAATCTTATTCTCAAGAACCACCGGGCCAGAAAAGCTGAAACTTATATGGAAGCATTCTAATATAGTGTATATTCTAAATTATTAAAATCATGACCCCCGGGGGTACGGCAGGGCCACAATGGGGAATCGAAGTTTTACATAGAAATATATAGGAAAAAACAAAGAAAAACATCATCTCAAGAAACACTCGCCCAGAAAAGCTGAAACTAATGTGGAAGCATCCTGGTATAATGTAGATTCTAAATTGTTAAAATCTTGACCCCCGGAGGAGGGGCGGGGCCACAATGGGGAATCAAAGTTTTACATAGAAATATATAGGGAAAATCTTTGAAAATCTTCTTCTCAAGAACCACTGGGCCAGAAAAGCTGAAAGGTATGTGGAAGCATCCTGGGGTAGTGTACATTCTAAATTGTTCAAATTATGACCCCCGGGGGAAGGGTTGGGCCACAATGGGGAATCAAAGTTTTACATAGAAATATATTGGAAAAATCTTTGAAAATCTTCTTCTCAAGAACCACTGGGCCACAAAAGCTATAACTAATGTGGAAGCATCCTGGGGTAGTGTAGATTCTAAATTATTCAAATCATGACCCCCGGGGGAAGGGCGGGGCCACAATGGGGAATCAAAGTTTAACATAGAAATATATAGGAAAAATCTTTGAAAATCTTCTTCTCAAGAACCACTGGGCCAGAAAAGCTGAAACTAATGTGGAAGCATCCTGGGGTAGTGTAGATTCTAGATTGTTAAAATCGTGACCCCCGGGGGAAGGGCGGGGCCACAATGGGGAATCAAAGTTTTACATAGAAATATATAGGAAAAATCTTTGAAAATCTTCTTCTCAAGAACCACTGGGCCACAAAAGCTGAAACTAAATGGAAGCATCCTGGGAGGTAGATTCTACATTGTTCAAATCATGACCTTCGGGGGAAGGGCGGGCCACAATGGGGAATCAAAGTTTTACATAGAAATATATAGGAAAAATCATTGAAAATCTTCTTCTCAAGAACCACTGGGCCACAAAAGCTGAAACTTATGTGCACATGGAAGGATCCTGGGGTAATGTAGATTTTAAAATGTCTAAATTATGATCAGTGGGGTAGGGTGGGGATTCATTTTGTATTACAAGGAGGAAATCTGGTAAAGAACAGAATGGTCAAAGCTTCTCAGGTGATCATGTGGCCCATGGGCCTCTTGTTTCCACCCCTCAGGCCCCAGGGGGGCAGGGACCATGAAATTCACAATTTTTGTTCCTCTTCACCCATAGATGCTTTGTGCCAAATTTGGTTGAAATTGGTTGAGCGGTTGCAGAGAAGAAGCTGAAAATGTTTAAATGTTAACGCACGGCGCACGACGGACGACGGACGACGCACGACGACGGACGACAATAGATAGCAATAGGTCACCTGAGTTTACTCAGGTGACCTAAAAATACGTCGACAATTCGTATATACAATGGAGTAAAATGTTACCTGATTTTTATTTTGTGTTATAGAACTGTGTCTCCTTTTACCAGCTTGATAAAGAGAATTCCAGGAATGACATGTTGCTTTCTTCCTTACACTTCATCGACAACCAGGTAAGATTGAGATTAAATCTATAAATATCTGTAAATATAAGTAATAATTTAGGAATAATTGTAAATCCATTGCTTTAAACATTTAGCATATTTGATCCTTTCAAATGCTAGAAATTTGCGATTGTGTAAATGGATACCGATAAAGCAGATAAGATTCATTGTTATTTTTTAAGTTATACATAAACTGTTCTCATTCTGTGTCATCTAAAGCTGCTAATCAAGCAAATACAAAATTATACTGAATTGTGTTTCAGTCAATTCACCTCAAGAGTTGTTACATCCAATGATATTCCCCAGTCTCCTTATCGCACAGCGCCACAGGGACCTAACCCAGCCCTGCCCAAAGGTCCCAATAGATCACTTCTTAGGTAAATAGCCTGACATTTTTAAAGAAAACTTACGCTATCGGCCATCGTACAAAACTAGAGTACAAGTACAAGTAGAGAGTGTGTTCCAGATTCGTTTGTTTTATTTTTTGCACGCCTCACATATGTTTAAAAATGTGTGCTTTGAATTCAAACAGTTTTAAATTTGCCCGAGTAGGGCATCCTCGAGCAAGGGTTTCCGATCTGATACCTACTCTACATAGTAGGTATCGGATCGGAAACCCTTGGCTAGCGAAGATGAAGTAGGGGGGCACAAATAAAACGGGAGCGAAATATTCTCGTAAACGCGGCATTCTAATTTTAATTTTCGCTCCTTGAAGTTATCTCTTTAAAGGTCTCGATATTTTAGTTTTCAATTATGTGGATTTTATCTTCTTGAAATATTGACTTTTTAAAATCATCTTTGAACAACTGCATAGAAGTTTATTACGTTTTTTTTTTTTTGTATTTTAGCAAGGACATTATTCAAGCTACAGGTCCTAACATGAAGCACAGAAGAGGACCAGACCCCCATAATGTTGGGATGAGGGTAGTTGCGGTGGGCCCAAATCCAGCTTTGGTACAGGGCCCAATCAATGTACTGAATGGACGTTCAATGCTTGTAACCTCCTTGTAATAATTTGAAAGGAATTGTTAAAACATTATTGTTCTGATCAGATGCTCAATTAATTGACATGCAGAGAAACATCTATCAGAGAATCTAGACAAAATATATGAATTATTATCATAAAATACATGTATTATATATTAACAAATATAACAACTTTACATTTTTAATTCATGGTGCCGATCTTATGGTGTGAGGATTTTGGCATGATATTCGTTCTAATAGATGTAAAAATTAACTACGATCGTATCGTCCTCATTTGTTATATTTAACGTTTTCAGTCCTGGTGTGTAACTATTTTCTTAAAATTATGTTAACATAACATCGTTATTATTGCATCGTACTGATTTGCTTTAAAGGTCAATTAATAATACATGTATGTCGTAGTTATTGTTTTTCAATGTGAAAATAACAACCTTCAGTAATTCATGTTTGTAAGCATTTTAATTCAAAATATCAACTTCGCTTTTCAGTCATTTTATTGCTTTGTGATGCATTGTCATGCAAAAAAAAAAAAAAAAAAAAAAGAAAGAAAAACTACCATTAAGTTTAAGACGAACTGCAATCATGAAATTATTAAATGTGCCAAGTTGGATGAAAATGTGGGAATTCTTACTAGATTTTGTGATAATTATGTCAAAAATATTTAAATTGAAAATATAAGAAAAAGGAAAAGTCTTTTTGACAGCAAACTAGATTTTCATGAACATCACTGGTAATTTTCGCATAAATTATAAAAACTTCCTATTCTGACAACTGTTGAATGTGATGAACTAACGATATCAATGTACCTTTGAATGGAATATCTTGCATAAAAAATGTTCACAAATGGTATTTTCTCAACAATTGCCGAAAATAAAAAATCCAAATTCAATATACATTAAAATGTAGTGGGCACATCTCGAAGATATATATAATTTATCGGCAAAACTTTTTTTTTTAAATCATACGATACATATCTTAAAACAGTTGAAGAGTTATGTAGACAAATGATGTCTCTAACTGCAATATTATTTTATGCATAAAGAATGACTACATTCTGCAAGTTCATTCATTACTAACGTCCAAGCTAAATGTATATTTATATACATGTTCACGAAGGTTGACCTGCAAGAAATAAAATGTCCTATTTTGAAACTTGCATGAGAAATTATCCGGACAGATGAGATCCCTTTTGCAGTCAATCCCCATTTGAATCACCATTTTAGTAACCGGATTTATTTCCTCGGGGAAAATTAAAAATCTACAAAAATCCTAGCAGAGTTCATGCTAACTTACATGTACTCACTCCTGGTTAAACGTTTATAGATATTTCCATCATGGAGCTGATTGTATTTCATTTGAATAAGTTGATATATTTGCTAAACAATTGATGTTGGTTTGTAATTATTTTGCGTTAGCATCTTATACGATGGTTGTTTGAAAAGTTCAAGGACTTCTGTCATACCTTTCTTTTTGACGTCATTATGTTATCCAAATTTGGTAGAAATAAATTACCGGTAACAATAAATCCAAATGATTTGTATTCCATTTTTTAAAAAATATTACGATTTATTCAAAACTTATCCAGATTTCAAAAAAGCAAAAAATCGGATTGCGGTGCAGGTCAAAATTTAGTAAGTTACAAACAATACTCTAAATAATGTTTGTAGTCATATTCTCTGTCAAATGGAGCTAAAACGAAAAACAACCTAGAAATTCAAATTAAGAATTGTTACATCGATTCGTATTCCAAATTATGGCTTAATATTTTGCTTTGTTGAAAAGAAATCAACTTGAGAAGATAGGTATAGTCCTCATTGAAAATGACAAAAACGATGACGTTTTAGAACGTCACGGAGCAGCAGATAACGATGCAATTTTGTGTTTTAATCAGGAAAATCCTAAATAAACTCTAAAAATGTTGGAGGAATCAAGAAAATATGTCAAGTTTTGCACGTGTATACATATAGTAAAGGCAGTATTTGAGTGACAGAGACTCTGTATCGGATGAGGACAATCTGTGAAGAAACGGTTTAAAAGTAAAAGTCTTCACAAAAACATAATAAGATGGGACGTCAAGGAAAGACACAAGCGCTTCAGAGTTGCTTATTCTGTGAAAGAAGAGTTAAGGAATAAAAGAAATTAAAACCATAACAAGGAAATTACACAACGAGAGCAATTCTTACAAAACAATTGTCAAGTATTAGAAAAAGGATTTAATAAGTGGGCATTGGATTATATTGTGTGAAATGTATGGGGATAGTTTTTATAGAAATTCTTGACGCTATAATTTATGTTTTGACGTTACATTGCCGTGAAGTGTGCTCTGCGGGTAAAAACATATTGATCTTAAAATAAAAATAAATTGATTTATGTTAAATCTACGGAAGCGTATTAGTGCCACTTGCACACTTTACTTTTTTTTTAATTTTGACACTTTAATATGTAAATTTTACACTTTAAAGTGTAAATTTTACACTTTAATCTGTAAATTTTACACTTTAATCTGTAAATTTTACACTTTAATCTTTAAATTTTACACTTTAATCTGTAAATTTTACATGTTAATCTTTAAATTTTACAGATTAAAGTGTAAATTTTACACTTTAATCTGTAAATTTTACACTTTAATCTGTACATTTTACACATTAAAGTGTAAATTTTACACATTAATCTGTAAAATTTACACTTTAATCTGTATATTTTACACTTTAATCTGTAAATTTTACACTTTAATCTGTAAATTTTACATATTAAAGTGTAAATTTTACACATTAATCTGTAAATTTTACACTTTAATCTGTAAATTTTACACTTTGATCTGTAAAATTTACACTTTATTTGTTTATTCACATAGTCAATTTAGCATCTTCACACATCCTCAGTAACACATTTCTAAGCCAACAGACCGTGTTTCGTGCATGATAAAATTTAATTCTGATGTTTTATATTAAGGTAAAAATTTTCTTTGAATATAAGGTGAAGAGCATATCAAACATATATGCACATACTGTAAACCAACTTTTATTCGCGTGCGAGAAATTTTCGCGAAGTTTGCGAGAACCTCATCATCGCGAATATTTCTCGCCGCGAACCGGTCCTTATAGTATATTTGTCTATTTAAAAACAGATGCAAAAAGGCTTGATCGCGAAAATTAATCGTCGCGAACTAGTTTATCCCTGGTAAATCGCGAAATAAAGTCGTCGCGAATAAAAGTTGGTTTACAGTATTCCCGATCACAGGTGCTTGAGGACCCCTCCCCCCAATATAGATTCCAGGGCCTGTTAGACTTTTTTCACATAAATAATATATGGATGACACAATTGTGATATAATCTATAAATCCTATCAATTCAGAAAATTTGCTTATACTAACATTTTATTGGCTTACAAATGTGTTACTGAGGATGTGTGAAGATGCTAAATTGACTATGTGAATAAACAATAAAGTGTAAATTTTACAGATTAAAGTGTAAAATTTACAGATTAATGTGTAAAATTTACACTTTAAAGTGTAAAAATTGCAGATTAAAGAGTAAATTTTACAGATTAAAGTGTAAAATTTACAGATTAAAGTGTAAATTTTACAGATTAATGTGTAAAATTTACACTTTAATGTGTAAATTTTACAGATTAAAGTGTAAAATTTACAGATTAAAGTGTAAAATTTACAGATTAAAGTTTAAAATTCACACTTAAATTGTAAAATTTACAGATTAAAGTGTAAAATTTACACTTTAAAGTGTAAAATTTACAGATTAAAGTGTCGAAATTAAAAAAAAGTAAAGTGTGCACTAATACGCTTCCGTATAAATCGAATGGAATGAAACTTCACATATCAACAAAACAAATATTTTTACATATTATGCTGTGCTAATTTTAAATTTCTAATGAGTAATATAACGAAGATTGACTTCGTCCACGAACTTTTCGAACAACCCTCGTATAATAAAGAACGATCTTCCACGGAGATTCGTTTTCTGCCATAGGGGCTTGTCTTCCGGATTGATAAATGTAAAATAATTTTTCAAAAATTTGTACCTACATTAAATACACTCTAAAAATTGCTTAAATAAAGATTCTGACATGATCAGGCGAGAAAAATAATGTTTTAAAAAAAGTACTACACCTATATACATAAACTAGGAGCTTGTCTTCCGGATTGATAAATGTAAAATAATTTTTCAAAAATTTGTACCTACATTAAATACACTCTAAAAATTGCTTAAATAAAGATTCTGACATGATCAGGCGAGAAAAATAATGTTTTAAAAAAAGTACTACACCTATATACATAAACTAGGAGCTTGTCTTCCGGATTGATAAATGTAAAATAATTTTTCAAAAATTTGTACCTACATTAAATACACTCTAAAAATTGCTTAAATAAAGATTCTGACATGATCAGGCGAGAAAAATAATGTTTTAAAAAAAGTACTACACCTATATACATAAACTAGGAGCTTGTCTTCCGGATTGATAAATGTAAAATAATTTTTCAAAAATTTGTACCTACATTAAATACACTCTAAAAATTGCTTAAATAAAGATTCTGACATGATCAGGCGAGAAAAATAATGTTTTAAAAAAAGTACTACACCTATATACATAAACTAGGAGCTTGTCTTCCGGATTGATAAATGTAAAATAATTTTTCAAAAATTTGTACCTACATTAAATACACTCTAAAAATTGCTTAAATAAAGATTCTGACATGATCAGGCGAGAAAAATAATGTTTTAAAAAAAGTACTACACCTATATACATAAACTAGGAGCTTGTCTTCCGGATTGATAAATGTAAAATAATTTTTCAAAAATTTGTACCTACATTAAATACACTCTAAAAATTGCTTAAATAAAGATTCTGACATGATCAGGCGAGAAAAATAATGTTTTAAAAAAAGTACTACACCTATATACATAAACTAGGAGCTTGTCTTCCGGATTGATAAATGTAAAATAATTTTTCAAAAATTTGTACCTACATTAAATACACTCTAAAAATTGCTTAAATAAAGATTCTGACATGATCAGGCGAGAAAAATAATGTTTTAAAAAAAGTACTACACCTATATACATAAACTAGGAGCTTGTCTTCCGGATTGATAAATGTAAAATAATTTTTCAAAAATTTGTACCTACATTAAATACACTCTAAAAATTGCTTAAATAAAGATTCTGACATGATCAGGCGAGAAAAATAATGTTTTAAAAAAAGTACTACACCTATATACATAAACTAGGAGCTTGTCTTCCGGATTGATAAATGTAAAATAATTTTTCAAAAATTTGTACCTACATTAAATACACTCTAAAAATTGCTTAAATAAAGATTCTGACATGATCAGGCGAGAAAAATAATGTTTTAAAAAAAGTACTACACCTATATACATAAACTCTCAAAGGGACGCAAGCTGACATCTTGGAAAAAATACCCCCTCCCACTTCAGCACCTATTTCTGGACTCTAAGGCATTTATTTATTTAGTTGCCACAGTTCTCTTCGCTACAGTGATGATTTTCCTAAATGTTGGTGCGGTTGTCATTCGTGGACATGCGTTTAATCAACAGAAAACAGTTACGATATCTTTGACTTGGAGCTCATCTCGCTGATCGACCTCAAAAGAACGGAAGTTGACTTTTGTATACGGAAAACTCAGAGGGTAATCGAAAGCAAATGGTAACACCAAAGGACTCCCAGTTTCGCGGAAAAAATGTTTACCGACAAGAAAAGGACAGTAAAAACTGGTAAATACCGGCTAAAGTTTGGTTTCACAGGCTAAATTGTCAAGACTCATTTAATATATAACTATAAGGGATTTGTTACATAATTTACAGGACACTTGCTCTATAAGCACGCTATAGGATATACCACGATTATTGCCCTTGCGTCGTTACCATGCAACCTTGTCAACTTCCGTTCTTTTGAGGTCGATCAGCGAGATGAGCTCCAAGTCAAAGATATCGTAACTGTTTTTCTTTTGATTAAACGCATGTCCACGAATGAGAAACCGCACCAACATTTAGGAAAATCATCACTGTAGCGAAGAGAACTGTGGCAACTAAATAAATAAATGCCTTAGAGTCCAGAAATAGGTGCTGAAGTGGGAGGGGGTATTTTTTCCAAGATGTCAAGTGCGTCCTTTGAGAGTTTATGTATATAGGTGTAGTACTTTTTTTAAAACATTATTTTTCTCGCCTGATCATGTCAGAATCTGTATTTAAGCAAGTTTTAGAGTGTATTTAATGTAGGTACAAATTTTTGAAAAATTATTTTACATTTATCAATCCGGAACACAAGACCCCTATGTTTTCTGCTGGTTCCATGAGTGTCTGCAGTTAGATCTTTTTACATATAATATTTTGTGTCGAATTACCTCCTCTCATTCTTTATATATACTGCTTTCAGTGTGTTTTGTATTTCGTTTTTCATTGCTAACAAGATTTTTTTCACCTGAATACTAGTATCAGTCAAACCTTTAACGACACTCGCCTCTTCGGTTTCCATGTGGTTTCCTCTTCCTATAAACGCTTTTTGTTTATACAGTAATTCTAGATATGCAAGCTCGTTTGCTCGCTTACTACTAAATACTGCATATTCAATTGTAGCAAGATGACCAAGACACATTGGTTATTCTTTTCATTGACAGCTTCGAAACACCTCACTATCCACATCTGTCATTTTCTGGACATGTTACCGCGCATCAAGAATATTTATTTTATATATATACTTTTTGGAGGGTCATGTGAATTATTTACATCCACTGAAGCTTTCTAGAGTTCAAACGGCGTGTCAGTCTCTATCAATGATATAAAGACCTCACAATAATTAATAGTTTTAATCCACTTTAAATGAATCATATACGATATTAATATATTAATTAATATTCCCATTGCTACATGTATTGTCATATATTCTCGGAGACTCCATTTTATGGATGACCGATGGGTTCTTTTTAATCCAACGGGGCAAATCTAGGTCATATAAAGGAAAATTAACATTTTTCGACCAATACAAGTTTTTATTTATTTATTTTTTTTTTTAATTTATGACAGTGTCATGAAATTTTTTAAAGTACATGTTTTAATGTTTAAAAAAAAAGTATTATTCATTTTTTTTTTAAAAAAAAAAAATTAACGGTGATAAGGAAGAACTTTTACTTTTTTTCTTCTACTTGTAATTTCATTGAGAGAGAGGGGGGGGGGCTTTTTTGCAAATATTTTCCTTGAGTTTTATGGATTTTTTTTTCATCTCATAGAAGAATTGAGATATTTTTAATCCCCTTTTAATACCAAAATCTCGCATTATATGCAATTTTCCAGATCATTTTTTTTTTCACAGTTTTTACATGTGATATGCAATTTTCCAGATCATTTTTTTTTTTTTTTTTTTACAGTTTTTTAGTGGAGAAACTCTCAAATAAATGTGGCATTTTTTATTTAATAAATAAATAAATAAATAAATATAAATAAATAAATAAATAAAATCCCTTCAGTTGATTTTACTACATATCTAATTTTGTGCCTCGACTCCCCTTAACCGCAAGGGGACAGAACTCGCCTTGAGCGTCCTTGACCTTATCTTATGTACTTCCGGATATTTGTAAATAAACATTGTCAACTGTATTTTGAAGGAAGCATTTCGCAAGTAGCTACATAACATCATAAAATGCAGGGCGGGCCACCCTTGCCTCCAGGATGGGAGGCTCGATGGGATGCTAACCAGGGCGCTTAGTGAGTAGTTAATTATTTACTTGCAACATATTGAAGATCACTCTGATGTATTCAGAGAAAATTCGAAATGATTTACGTATTTTATAAAATTATTATGATTTTTTGTGCGTAGATCTATTATTCTATTAGGCATATTTTAATTAGAAAGGACTTTTACTTAATCGTTTGAGTAGGGTAGATGGAACATATTTGAAAATATTGCTCAGCTCTTGATTAATCTGTAACGGCGCTTCGATTTACCCAAATGGAACCCAAATGGAAACAAATGGACCCAAATGGAAACACAAATGGACCCAAATGGAAATCAAATGGACCCAAATGGAAATATATTAAATATGTATTGTCGTATTTTATTACTTTTGTAAAATGATGAAAATAAATGAACTTACAGTTACAACTGGAGTTTTATATTTATCATTAATCTCTAATATTGTATTTTGAGACATGAAGTTTTGATAGTATTCTATACACCGACAAAATTATTTGGGGGTGGGGGTGGGGTTGGCATTTAGTATCTCTCTCCCCCCCCCCCACCCCCTTCCGTTCCTATGGCCTTAGAAACTATCAAATACTTCGGTTTTGTATTCAATTATGTTCAATAGTTATTACAAATAGAATTAAATCGCATTTTTGAAAACACAAGTTTAAGAAAATGATGATATTAAAATATTTTCTTTTATGTTAACATGGTTAATTTCATATTATTTTCTATATTTTAAATAAGTAAAAACTTGAGAATATGATATAATATATTTATTTTATATTCCATTTGGGTCAATTTGATTTCCAGTTTGGTCCATTTGAGTTCCATTTGGGTTCCATTTGGGTCCGTTCTATCCATTTGGGTAAATTGACGCACCCATCTGTAATGCTCTATCTTTCTCTTAGTCAGCTGTTAGTATCTTTAATATTCACAATTTTGGATTTTTTTTTCCAGTTTTTTCATTGACCACAACACTAAACAGACTACATGGATTGATCCAAGAATTAAATTGGTATGTATCTGTATCAGTGCATATTTCATTTTTAAAGAAATATTTTTCATTATTGATATTCAGAAGTATTTGAAAAAATATCTCTTATATAATATTAACTGTTAAATTGAAGCAGTACTGAGAATACTGGATTCATTTGTAAAAACTATCAGGTTAATTCTATCACGGACCTATATACTACTTATATAGGTCCCTGATTCTATTATAATGATGATCAATAAAATTGTCAACACTATTAAATTTTTATATACTTGATAGCAAGCTAATCAGCCCCAGCAACCTCAATATGGTGGACAGCATGCTGCCGCAGCCCAGGTATAATTCAATCAATCAATGATTGATTGGAGAACATTTGTTTTCATTTTGTATTGTCTGTAGAGCTTTCTCCATTTTTTTTTTCTCTTGATAGATGTTCTTTTAATGGTCTTATATGTTAAAATTTAAAACAAGTCTTAATTTCTTTTTCCTCAATTCTTAGTCTTTT